ATCCTTTTCCTTTGGCGTCCATTCCCCCTCCAGGTGCTTCTTTCTTCAAATCTTTGCTGTTCCTTCTGTATTTTCTCTGGGCTCCCTTTGCCTTGGAACTCCCTGCCACACCGCTGCTGCTTCTCCCCCATTCGGCCCCTTTGCTCTCCTGCCCATCTTCTGTTTCTTCCAGGAGGCAGACTGGGCTGGGTAGGAGTCTGATTGCTCCCGTCAGGCCTTTTACCGTCCCAGGATGCCCGTCTATATGAGGCACGAGCCCATCGCTGACCCGTTTCTAGCCAAACATCCACGACCTCAGCCTGTGCCACCATGCTCCGGCCGAAGCACCACCGTGCTACCGAATCCCCACGTCCCCTGGGACTGGACACGCTCCTCTCTGCTGGAGGTGGCTCTGCGGGAACGTGAAGGAGATGCCCGCGCTGACGGTCCTGCCCGCAGTTGTGGTGGCATTGGTCACCTCCTGCTGCTGCGAGTGTAGCTGTTGCTGCCACAATAACCCTACTCGGTGCCGGCTGTGGCCTAACCTGTCCGTGCCCGCAGGCATCCTGCCGTCACCCTTAGAGACTCTCAACATCTAAACAGATGGAAATACTGATGACGACGCATCGAGACCCCTGGGCGAGCCTCCAGTGTGGTCCCAGATGGCGGAATAGCACGCCACCTTGACAGAAGATGCCTCCCTGCTTCCGTTCCCACCGGCCACCATCAGCTTCAGGGCAGGGGTGAGTTCTGCTCCTGGTCCTCTGCCCATATCCTTGCCACCCAGGCTGCAGATCTGGGCCACCGCCCAGTAATATCTGGCACTTGTTCCAAAAATGCCAAGAGACAAGGTACCAGGGACGTGGGCTGAGCCCTCAGCCTTTCTAGACCTCGGCACGAGGAGCAGTGTTCCTCCTGGGACACCCTTGTGCTGCTGCCAGCAAGACGGAGAGAGGTTGACCCTACCCTAATGAGTGGCCCATACGGGATGGGCAGAGGAGGAACACTTTGCTTTGGATGCCACATGCCCCTGGCAAGACAGAGATGCGCCCCAAGAACTGCCTTCACCATCCCTACAAACCCTCCATCACAGGTAGATGTAAAATCTTGCCAGCCCAGCATCCTCCAAGAAGTGATGGGAATCTCTGACAACATTTTTTATTGGATGTTTTGCATCACATTAACTGCGCATCATCTCTTATCCTCACTATTCTATGTTTTCTTACACAAGACACAAAAAAATCCCAAACCATCCGCTAATGGCCCAGTATCCCAAGTGCAGTCGAAGCTCCTGAGCAAGGCACGAGCCTGCCAGGCACTGCTCGCTCTCCCCCTTTCCCTTCTCCGGGCTGCTTATGTATGCCACACGCACACCTCCCACGCCAAACACTCCAGCGTCTAAATACCAAGCCTTTAATATATAAGCACTTTCTACTTTTAGAGCCTATGATAGAGTCTTTCCTACAACCTAAGCAGGCTGAGCCGCTCCCCTCGCCTCGCCGTCTGCCGTACAGCCCCCTGGTAAGGTTTTAATAAGTATGGTGGTTTCAGCTCCTGTCTAGATATCACAGGTGGCATGATAAAAGCAAGCTTAACTGCGGCCGTCATGAAATCCCTGGTGCCGAGGGACAGCCCAGAGCATGGTCTGCATCGGGGAAGAAGAGCTCGACGGGCACTGGGTTGGGGGAGTTGCCCTTTTGGAGACTTGAGGAGCCACTTGTTATTGCTAAGAAGTAATAAATAGACCACACTGGCTTTCGAGATGCTCGCAGAATAGTTACGCTGGCATCGCTGCTGCTTTGAGAGGCAGTGGATGCCGCACAGGACCGGATCCGGGAGAGCATCCTTCCCCTCATTCTGAGGACCAACTGCACGACCACGACTGCGCTACTGCAAATGAAGGCCACGGTCCTTCCAAACCCATCCCGGCTCCCGGGGCGAGGAAAGCGGCACGACGCTGAGACGGGAAAATGGATTGCACCAACGAGAAACTAACAGTAACAATGCCGATGGCCAGGAGAGGTTTTAATGAAAAATCTATGGCGAGTAGGATTAAGGCAGTACAGAGGAGGGCCCTCTAAATAAATCACAAACAGAGGACACCTGAGCAATACCAAAAACCACTATTAGGTAGTATTCTACGTCCTCTGCTCCAAGGAGGACACCAGGCTTGCTCTTCCCCGGGGCGCTGACTGCCGAAGTCACAGCCTACACCTAAACACTCACCCTGAGCTCCCCTTTCCAGACTGAAATGTACCCCACATCCTGAAACGACCCACGCCAAGGAGGCACAGCTCAGCCCTGGCTACACTCTGCCACGCTCCTCGCACCAGAACGCTTTCATGGCACAAAGGGGCAAGGTGTCCTGGCTCATCCACATGGGCTCACACCTCCTGGCAGCTGAGGTGGCCTTCACGGAGGGTCCTACCTACCGAGGACCGGACCCACAGCATCCTCCGCTCAAGCTGTTTATGCCCCAAAAAGGATGAGGTGGCTCATCTTCTACTCCTACAAGATGAAATGCCAGTTCTTTTTGCATTCGTGACTCTCGCATTGTGTCCCTGAAAGCCTCCGTCCCGTCGTCGCGCGGCAGCCCCAGCAAACAAGAGGAAGAGGGACACAAAGCCGACCCTCTGGCTCGCTGCCATTTACGCTTTTACAGACCCTCGTTAACGGCTGCTGCAATCAACCAACCCAAGAAACATATTAATAACGCCGCAAAGAGACACATTTACTGTTGACGGCGTCTCCCCAGCAGATTGATCGCTGGGATGCTGGGAGGGAAGGCCGGGCCCCGCAGTCGCACAATTAAAACCCGATTGAATACGGGGACAAAAAAAAATAAAATCAATACTCCGGTCAGTCAACTTTTAATTCTACAAAAGAGAAATATAAATTAATTGACCTGAACGCAGTTGCTCACTGGTCACTACCGCCTGCTCGCTGGCCAGCCAGCATGGGGAAGACATGATGCTGTGGTGTGCCCGTGGTCCTCCTGCCCTCACTGCTGCCTCCTTAACGAAGGAGGACCCCAAACCTCCTTTTTAAGCCAATATTTAAGGCTGGGAGAGCTGCAACTGAAATAGGGCTTCGCTTCTCCCCTGCTTGCATGCACAGCGGGACCAAATGCAGCCTTGGAAAACCTCTCTTTTCCTCCCAGCACAGAACACAGGTGTTATTCACCCTTGTAGAAAATTGGCTCTTCCACAGCATGCAAGCGTGGAGGCGAACAGCCCTTAAGCACGCCAGTGGGCGATGCCGCTTGGTCCGAACCTCTGGAAAGCACATTTTAGGTACTGGGTGACTGCGATGGAGGTGAAGCGAGAACAGAGCAAGGAAGGATATATTTTTTTCTGACCGTGACCATCAATGGGACAGCATGTCCATCTACAGATGGATTTTCTCGGCATAACAACTTGGGCAAACTCCATGGCTTGAGCTTAGCAGATGAACAAACACACACAAAAACTCCTGAGCACAGTCTGGTTCAGCTCAGCCCGCGGAACCGTGCATCCCCTGCTCCTCCCAGGCTTCCTACAGCTGCACAGAGGCAACGCAGCCGACAGCCACGGTCATTGCTGCGGCGGGACCAATTCCAACACAGCTTGCTCACCCCATAGGAAAACTCTTCCCAGCACATTTAGGAACGCCTCGCCACCGCAGACCATCCCTCACTTTCGCCTGCCCGAGCGCAAGTACTCCGAAAAAGGGGCGAGGGGAGCGGACACTGACCGCCGCTTCCCCTGATTTCATTAGGTGCAAAGCACTCAGGTACTTCAACAGTGTGGACCGGATGGATTAGCACGATTAGAGAGCAGACAGGATAAACAGATTAAACTTCGCCGACGGATGGCTTGCACGCAACTCAAAAAGGGGGAGAGGGAGAGGCGCCGCAGACGGGGACGGAGGGGATGCTCGCGGCACTCCTCCGCTCCCCTCTTCCTCAGCCGAGAGCTGCCCCACCAGTGGCCCCCTGATGCGCTCCTGCTGGGACCGGGCGGGAAAACCGTTTGGATGGGTGGCCCCAATCAAACCCTGCCTCCTCTGAATGAGGAGGATACATAAATACATATATATCGGTGCTGGGGGCTTCTCAGAGACCTGTCGAGGCCGAGAAATTTCTCAGATTGGCTCATTGCAAAATCAATACCCATCAGCTGTTTGAAATTAAAGGAAAGATTAGGTCCTGGTTTTATACACGCTTTATTGTATTCCGAGAGCTTTCTACTCAGCCAGATAAATCTTCTTTAAGAGGATTAAGAAACTTTCATTATCTTTATCTAACCTGAACTAACACTAACTCTGAAAAATTAATCTAGAGACCGGACAAAAGCCGGCAGCCGGAGCAAAGCTGCAAGGATCTGGAGGCGGCGTCTGCCAGAGTGCTACGGGCACCTCCGATTTGCCGCCACCCAGTTCCCCCCATCACAACAGGTGACCCAACAGCATCTGCTACACGGACACGCGTGCCTATGAAGCCCTTCACCAGCAGCTCTTCACGGCCCTGCAGTGACTTTGACACGCTCACGTGCTCTGCCCTCTCCCAAAGGAGAGGGCAGGAGTCTCATGCCGACGGACTCCGCTCCGCCACCACAAAGGGCAGCGCTGGGCTTTGGGCTCTCCCAAAGTATCTTCGGACACACGCCCGAGCGCCTAACAACTCTCTGATGTAGCCATTCAAGTCAACGTGGGTCCTGAGTAGGACAGACGGGTCAACTTCACAGCAGGGACAGGCAAGGGGGCAGAAGGAGGAGGACGTCGACCCCAGTTTTGGTTCCCCGGTGTCCTCTGCCCCACCCGATGACCATACAACACAGTGAGGCTGAGGCGACGCAAGTCCATCTCCTCCCCGTCATGGCAGGTAGTTGTCAACACCCCTTTCCTCAAGCAGCTCAACCCCCAACGCAAATGTTGGTCTGATCCCTACATCTCCATCACCAAAAAGGCCTCCAAACTCTTCCCAAGTCCAGACATCTTTCCATATCCAACGGTCAGTTTGACAATAGCATGTTAAGACCTACCTTGCACGATGAGATGGACACGTGAAGTCTTGGGGTGATTGTCTGTCTGCACGGAGCAAGTGTAGGGCCCCTCATCGTAGACGTCCACGTTGTGTATCTTGATGCTGTACTGGGTCTTGGTGTTGGAGAGGATGACCACCCGGTTGTCTATAGACCACTTGTCATTGCCGGCGTACAGGATGGTGCTGCGGTTCAACCACGCTACCCGCGTGACCCTGTCATCCACGGTACACCTGCAAAGGAAGAGACAGAGGGTCACAAACGCGGGGGCAGAACCTACGGTGAGTATCCCGGCTCCCAAAAGGAGATGCAAGTGGGACGGGAGCTGCCGCGCTGCCTCTCCATCACGCTCGGACGGACCGCCGGCACAGAAATGGCATGTGCCACATCCCGGCTACCCCGCTGCCATATCCCCCATCCCCTGAGATGAAACAGCAGAAAAAAGCCATGCCTTTTTCTTTTATATGGAGCTGAGGAGACGCAGACAAAAATCCCATTATGTTTGACTTCCGCGAGCCGCGCAGACTTTCCACACACCCCCCACCTCGCTGCACGCTGAGAATTTCAGCCGAAGCTGTAAAATTTGCTGGTGGTTGGGCTTGTCAGCACGGCCCTCGAGCCACCCCCGGGGTGATATACGCACCCGCTGCCGGGGGAGAGGGGCTGTGGCACACGCGCGGGGAGAGGGGAGGAAGAGAAACAGCCGGAGACGGCGAAGCCGGCGCGCGGGGACGAGGAGGGAACATTTGGATAAGCAGCTGTAAATCCTACAAGTGCCTTGAAAACACAGCGCGGTCGTTGCCATTATTTATTTCCTGCCTGGCTCTCCGAGAGGCGCGGGGGCTCAGCAGCTCCGGTCCGCGGCGCTGACTTACGCTTGGCACGGAACAGAGAGTTGGGGGAGAAAAAGGGAATTAAAACATTCCCCGAGAACATGGGCTTTTTCATTCCGTTTGATAGATTTTTCTCAATCTGTTTACTTCTGGCCTTCTCTGCCGCCGCCGCGGCACCCACAGCAATACCACCAAGCGCGTGGCTAAATTAAGAGGCCGGCGTTTCTCGGGAGCTTCTCCTTGCCCGCTCGAGGACGGCGGCAGGGGAGTTTTTCCGCAGTGTACATGCAAACTGGGAAAATCTAGCTAGGTGTACGCTTGTGTCGGTGGCGGCAGCGCTGCCGCAGCTTTGTGCAGCCGAGGTCTTAGGGAAAAGGCACAGAAACCTCTGCAAGTGCCTCTCCGCACGCCTGTAAATTCAGAGCCGGGCTGGCGGCTGTCCCTGTCCTCGTCCCCGCCGCAGCGCCTCCGCTGCAGAGGCTTCGGGGGGGTTATATGCCTCCCTTGCCGGGATCGCAGAGCCTCACCTCGATCGAGATTATTAATCGGGCGGTGGGAAGGGGCGATACTTGGCATGTTTGAGGGTCCCCCCGGGCGCTCGGTGCAGAGGAACGAGCCATATATCCTCCCGCAAACAAGTAATTTTCCCCTTGCAGGAGCTGTATGTCTCCGCCGGCCGCATCGCGTATGGATGCCGGGAAAGACGGATGGCCCTCTGTGCCCACCACGGCACGGTCAGCATGCCGGGAGCCCGCCCGAGCATCGGAAGCATCCCGGTGCCCCACGGTGGCACCGGCTGGCCTCCACCGGACCCGGGCGACCTCATGCCATCGGACGCATCATCCTCGTTGGAAAGGTGAGCCCTCCCTTTGTTCAAATTAACTGGGGGAGAGCTAAGCGCAGCCGAGTTAAGTTCGGCCCTGGGGGATTCCAGTCTAGTGGACTATTACTGCTGTCTCACTTCATTATAATGAATAATAAAGAGATACTTACACACGGCTTCTGTAAATTATTCATTGCGCGCACTGAAAAATCAGGGCAGCAATATGTAAAACAGACAACTTGCATGTCTGCGCTCATATAAATATCCAGACTACAGCCCTGCGAGGTACCCTCGGGTCCCCTCATTAGGGGTGAAGCACAAGGACTATGGTTGGAAGTGACAGGGATGAGGAGCTCGTGCCGTCCCCGGGTACGTTCGCCCGCCGCTGCCCAGCTTCGGCTGGGAGTGCTTCTCAGGGAAGTTTGGGGCCGGTCCGGGACCTGGGAGAAATGGGGTCACTCGTTCTGTGTTTGCAGCTCACTTTTATGGCTCAGAGCCGCCCCTGCACGAGTGCACAGGGATGCCCATAACATGGGTGGACGTGCTCAGGCAACGAAGGGCAAGGACAGCATCGCCCTCCCTTGCCCGTAGCGCCTGGTGACCGGTACCACCCTCAAAAACACTCCCAGCAAGTGGTCAGGAGCAATGCGGAGACTCCTCCTTCTAACAAACTCATGCCAAAAACAAGGAGGTAAAGGATCCTTCTCCCCATCCCTCGAGCTCGCGTTTCAGTTGCTGCCGCTCAATAGCGAATTTGGAACCAAGTCCTTTTGGCTCTGCTTGCTCAGCATCATGCTCCTCTCCACCAGAGCCTGGGCTGTCCCCTACGGGTAGGAAGGGACCGCAAAACCCTCCCATTTTGCAAAACCAGCCCTCCTGCACCTCCTGGCAATGTGTCCGAGCGACCACCAGCAGAAAAGCCACCGTCCATCGGCTGCCATGGTGTCTCCAGAGGCACCTTTTTGCCCAACCTCACCTTCCCACTGCGAGTTTTCCCGCAGCCCGGGGAATCGGCGCTTCGAAGGCGGATACTGACGGGCACCTCAAGGCGAGGAGCGCCCGGCCAGCTGCTTTACCAGCCTCGGAAAGCCGTCTCCGTTCGCCGCTAAGCCGCCGGCGCTCCCTGGCTTGCCGAGCCGTCATTGCTACCTATTTCCAATTGACCAGGATTATGATAATGTCTCCAGTAAGCAAACAGGTAAAGAGACTTCTGCAAAGCGTTTAGATAAAACAGACAAGCTCTGACAAAGCTGGATAATAAAGTGGGCCAGGAGGTTTTCCCTTGAAGGGATCTAATTAAGAACAAAGACAAACCCCCATTAACAGTCTCCTGAAGGCGCCGTATCCATCTCCAGAAGAAACCCTGCCTTACGAGTCCGGGAGGGACAAAAGACAATAAAGTGCCTGTCAGACAGGAGGGAAATAAACCCATCCTGGATCTGCGCTTCACCTGGAGAAAATCCATCAGCGAGGCAGGGGGAATATCTATGGATCCATAACGTCAGCCCAAACTCAAGGCTCCGGGCACCCACCTCATCCCTTCTTTGTCCAACGTGACCCATCCCATCTGCTCCTCCGCATCTGCATCCCACTTAGACCCTCGCTGCCTTCCAGCAGGAGACTTTTCACCACCTGCAGCCCTTCGGCTGCCTCCCGTCGCGATCGCTCTCTGCCAGACCGCTCTCCGGGCAGCCTCGGATGCTTTGTCCCCCCTCCGACGCTCCCACTGGTACACGTGGCCTCTCGGGCGATGAACCCGAACGCGGCAGTGTGAGAAGATGCATGAGAGAGGGAGCTGGGGGCAGCGGCGCTGCGCCGCTTCCCCTCTAATTGCCCCCATTCCTCATCCTTAAATGCTAATTTTGAAGTTTGCCAAGGAATTATTTCGCTTAGTGTCAACAATACAGATAACTCCGCCGAGGCGCTCTTTGTGTTCGGTGACACAAAGTGACCGTCTCCCTCCTCCCAGACCTATTAGGAGAGACCCCCACGTCGCTCCTGCCCAGCCCCATCAATGACACTGACAGTGCTTCTCCTACGTGCAGGACCTGACGTTATAGCCGCTGCCAGCATTCCCTGCCTTTCCCAGACCTTTCCTGCACCGCTGACTCAATACCTGCCCTGCGGAGATGGAAAAATTGCATCCCGGGTCGGCACAAGTTTTCTGCCGCTAGTTTGGCAGGATAAATGGCAGGCAAAGAGCTGGAGGCATAAAGCAAGTCTGGCAAACCCCTCTCTGCGGGTGCAAAAATATCCCGAGGGATGGGATGCTCAGCACCCCAAAACATCAGAGCGCATCCCGAGCCGTTTCCACTCCCTTTTTGGATCAACCTGAAACCCTCCCGCTTCCTTATGCAAACCGACAACTTATACGTACTTCTACAGCCTTTCAACCCCCAAACTGCTTTTCTCTCTCTTGTAGGCAATGTGTCTCCTCAAAATGACAAATGGAGGTGCCAAAACCGGTCACAAACTGCCTGGCTGACCCACTTTTCGGCAGCTAAAATAGCTCACCCGCATCGGGAGCGCAGCCCCTCGATGGCCCCCGGGGTGCTGCTTCGCCCCGGGAAGTTTCCAACCAACAGTACCTGTCACGGGGGCAGAGCGGACATCCCACCACCCTCGTCTTTGACAAGAAATTGTTAATTACATTTGCCGGGGACTCCTAACGGGATTTCTCCTTCGCTTCCGGTACTCGCCCCGGCTACGGAGTTAATAGGCTCCGAACGGCTTTTATTTCAGGCGGCTGGAGCAGCGGCAGAGGAGATTTATTTGTAATCATCGCAAATAAACACACTTCCTCAGAAGTAAACACAAAAGAACAGAACCTGGCCGAGCTCCCGCTTCGTTAAAGATGCAAATGAGAAGCGGGCCATCAAAACCCGGCAGCTCCTCTAATCCTCTCCCAACAATGTAAACCATCAAATTAGCCGCGGGTACAATGGCATCTGCGGCGTGTGACGGTGGGTCTCACACAACGGCTCCCCGAGGGCAGGACTGCGCCGCCTGGGCTTCCGTCACTGTCATCCCTGGTATTTATTCTCGGTGCGGAGGGCGGGAGGCGCTTTGTCTTCGTTCCCCATCCCTTCCGCTGGCACCCTGTCTCCCGCCTCAGCCGCCCGTGGTATCCCGTCTCTCCCAGCCCCTGGATGCACAGCCCCACGCCGCCCCAGCTCCCCGAGGATGGAGGGGACCCACGATGTGCCCTTTGGCATCACCCACCTTGACCACCTCCCGTCCAGCCCTTGCCACCCACTCGGCAAGTCCCAACCCATCGCCGTGCCTCCGTGTCCACCTTGGGAAAACAAGGACCGTGGGATGCACGGGGAGCTCGGTCAGCCAAAACTGTGCCCCTTTTCCCCCATAACCTCCCCACCGTACACCGCTCAGCCCCATTACCTCCCACAAAGCCACGTGCCACCGCCTCTCAATCTCTGCAGGCTTAATTAATTGCCCGGCCCCACCGCTACCGAGCCGCTCCGATTCCCTCAGCACTCCCAGTGCCGTTCAAACAAGCTCCGGACCGCCGGCAAACCCTTCCCCCCTAACCGCCCCCTTCCCAGAGCCCTCCAAGGGC